GCCTATCCTGCCTGAGACAAATATGCATTTGAAGACAAACATGGCCTTTGTGTGCCAAAGTGAAGCATGGCCACATGATCATTTTCAAGGGATAATAGAAGAAAATGAAATCTTATTTTCAAAATGAGATCTAGTGGAAATGTACTTTTTTCTCAAGGAGACAAACTTGAAAGGCTAAGTGAGTTATTTACTCAAGGTTGAGAGGCCTTGATGAAGCCAGGATTCTATTTCAAATATTCTGAATTGTGTCCCAGTATCCTCCCTATTAAATTACTTTGCCCATTATTATTTATTTTTTTCCATATTTTCTGAATTTGAATAAAATGAATTCTAGTTATATTTTAAAATAGCACCCACTGTATATTCCATCTGATCTTACGAGTCATGGGCAGACACCGTAACAAAGAGAAATCAAAACTCCCTTCACTTACAGGTTAGCAGGTTTGGGGGTTACATTAACTCTTCGGGGGTAATAACTTGGTGTCTGAAAAAAAGATTGCTAAATGTAGTGGTGATAGAAAGAGCAGTAGACTGGTAGTCAATGGCCTGAATTTTTGTCCCAAATTCACCATTACCTAGTTATTGACATTGGCAAACTCTTTATTCTCTATGGACTTCATTGGTGGAATGTAAATTAAAATGAATATTTTATAAGGAACTTTCTGATTTTGGGATCCTTTGCTTCTACGAATTTTGCTTAAGTAATGTGAAAAGATTAAGTTATCTTAACTGTTAAGAAATAATGTAAGACTTGAGCCCAGAGTAGCCTGAATACTAATCTCAGGTCTGGCCCTGAGACTAAATATGTTTTTTTAACTTTTTAATTTTTTTACTAAAAATGAGAATGAATAAATCAGTAACTTGTCCATTATTTTCAAAAATGAAAAATATATGGTAAAAAGCCATCTTTTTCCAGGTTACTGGAATCTGTACCAAAAGAGATTCTCTAGTAACAGATCTCCAGCTACTTTGAAAACAAGAGATGGCCCATGAGCTATCATTGGAAAGACAAGTAGAAGATCTTAAAAGGGATATCTTAGGAAGAAAAACTCAATATTCTTTTTGGAAAAAAATGTAAAAACTGAGGTAGAGATCACAAAATAATGGCAACAGTGAAAGAAAATCTACATATAAACAAAGGGGTTTGGTTTTTGTTTTCCTCCTAAATCTTTCTAAAGGATGATAACCATGTGTGGTCAGCTTGAAAGTAAGAAGGATCAGAAGCAAAGAACTCACATCTTATTTTTCCCTCTTAGTTCCCTCCCATCATCTATGGTATAGACTCAGTGTGTTGAGAAAGAATATAGCAGCATGCAGTGCAGGTGATGCCAAAAACAGCTTTGGCCTCATCCATGCTGTATCTCTACACTTACAACTCACAGATGCATTTGCTTACAAATCCCAGGGAAGTATAAGGAATATGTGACAATATTTAGTCAACTAAATACTGGAATTTGTACAATTATTATAATTTCCAGATCTAGAGTAGGAATTTAAGTTACACCTAGAGGGCTAAGAATTTGATTAATAAAATTTACTGCCCTTGGAAGAGACAGATGTCTTTTAGACCCAAATCTCTAATGTAAATTATTTACAGCGTAGTAAGTGGTGTGGACATACCTAAAAAAGAAGAATGAATTAATAGAAGAAATGATCTATTTAGAAAAGTAGGTAAATAAGATATAAAGAGGCTAAACTGTCAAACTGACATTCAAACAGAAAAGAAAAAGAAATCTGGAACTATGAACCATTTTGAAGAGGTATCTTCTCCCAAAGCTTTCCCAAGAATGTGGTTTTCCCAAGGTGTAGGTGAATCTAAACCATTTTATTTCTTTTATCAATTCCATTTACCAAGGAACATCTGATTAGTAATTTCCTTCCAGAACTCTCCTGGAGCTAGCACTCAAACATTCCATCACATATATAGTCTCCAAGTGTAAATTAATTCTTTTGACTACTGTATTATGCTAAATTTTCTGTAGCTTCATAATGGACCAATATCTACTCACTTCATAAGAAGTGAAGTGGTTGTAGTAACCACTCTGGTTGTGCTAATAAAATCTTGTGCCAGGAATGCAAATCTAAGGCACTTAATTTTAACTGCCTAATCAACCTCCAGAGCTGGTGCCTCTGAAAGGTAAACCTATATCCCTTCTCTAACCCTTAATATCAACTGTATTCAAACTGCACATAATATATTATTTTGTGTTTTGTACTTCCAGGGTTATTAACCAAATAGAGATGATTATAATATTATGGCATGCAAAATATATTTTCATTATAAAGCTAGAGGTAGGAATTTTTTTTTAAATCTTAAAATATAGAAGACCTATGCTGTTAAAAAATCAACAAAATAATTTTTAGAAATCTTTTTGTGATATTCTTAACAGGATGGATCTTCTGTATTTCAACTATGATTGACAGTTTTCCTATTTTTTTTCTTCATATGGCTTAAGAAATATGATATCAAGCTAATACATTAGTTAGGAGTCACTAAGTTTTGAAGGAAGAGAAGTTAAGTTGCATTAAATTCAAATTAGTTTTTAATTTAATTTATTAACTTAAATTAATTACAACTAAATCCTTAATTCTGAAATTAGATCATTTGCCCAATGCACATATGCATGCTTTGGATAACTTTAGGACAAGAAAAAACATTACGGAAACTTCAAGAAAGGATGTTTTTCATTTGCTCATCAGGAAATGTCCATATATGTACAAGATGTATTACTTTTCTTTAGAAAGCATCGCCACTTGAAATTACAGAAATCACTGATTCTTCTTGCTGTCCAACACACAGGTGTATGCTGTTTAATTTATTCACCTTAAAGGCATTTACAATTCTTTTAGACTATTTATTTAGCTTATCAAAACAAGTTATTCAATAGCCTACAAGATTGACTAATATGTTTTAAACATACTTTTAAAAGGAAACTTTTAACTACATCCTATAGAAAACCAAGAAGCATTTGAAACATTATTAAGTGCTTCCCTTTCTGACATTCAGAACTGTATCTCTTTTTAGGAATTATACGAAGGCTCACAGTTTCTTCTGTTTTTCTCCCAATTAACCTCTTCTTTCCTTAAAAATGCCCACTAACTCCCATTGTGACACATGAGAGTGGTTTTTGACCCTGAAAGAAACAAAGCTATACATGTTTTAATAATTCAAGATATTTGTGAAGATGTTTAAAGATGTGGATTAATATCCATATCTGGATAACGACTGTGGCTATTTTTACTTGACACAGAATAATTTCACCATTATTTCTAACATAAAAAATATTTATTTGTTCTTTAAAAATTATGTAAGCCATCTCAATTTATGCCAAGTAGACATCTACAGAAACAGATTTCTGGCAAAGAACTGGAATTGACGCAGTATTTCATTTTCCAAATATTATTCAGATGCTGACCATTCCAGATACCAAACAAATTTGCCACCCGATATCTTCACATAAAGTTTTCTTCAACATTATCTTAAATTTATCCAGAAATTTTACTGTGGGTAAGCAATGTATAACTTTTATGAATTTTGCTTTTGGCATTTCTATACCTATTTGCAGAATTGATCAGTGTACCCCACCTTCTCCACCTAACACCAACAAAATTAAGAGAAACCTGTTTCATATTCTAATAATCACATTTCCAAGTCGAAGGAAAGAGACACTCTAGAGAATGTGCCTGAGCATTCTGGACTGCTGAAGTTTCTTTACAGGATGTTTAGTTCTCAGAAATTCCAGAAATATTTGATGTGTTTATCATGAGGCAATTACTAATGTAAAAGTACCTCTTGTACTAACTTAGAAAAATCTCCCAAGGTTATCTACAAATTCTAGCCACATCAAGAACTCATTGCCATTGAATGATTTTTTCAAAATCAGTTCAAATAAAGTAGAAAGAGGCTGCAAATACATTTTCTCATTTGAATGTGTATTCGAATTTATTAGTCTTTTCTTTTTAGACACTCCCTGACGCTCCACTCCCATTTCCTTTATTTTATTTGCTTTATTTTTTGTTTGTTGCTCCCTCTGTCTCCAGCACCTATTCCTGATTAAAAGAAAAACATTAACATGTAGAACTGGAGGTAGACAAAGCCCATCTCCTACAAAGCTAAGGACACCTGAGGACTAGAAAATAGTTATGTTAAAGAGACAAGAGGATTACAGTTTTTGGCATTCTGTCTCAAGCTTCCTTTTAGGGGAACACAACAACATTTATGACATTTCCACTCAATATCCTTGACTGTGTTCAGTTCAATCCCTTTCTTAAAAACCTTTGAAATAAGTTTCCAGCATATGATCTTTCAAGCAGGTTAACTTAGAACAACTGCTGCTAAATTTCACTGCAAAATAAAGACTCAGTGTAAGAAGTTGAAAATTATAACCTGTGTGAAGTTTCAAAAGAAGCCTTTTTTCAGAAGATAAAATATAAATGTACAGATATCAAACAACAGTCATACACAACCATGCACTGCCAATGAATGAAGAGCAAATAGATCCTATGAGGCACTAATTCATGTTATGTATTAGTCATGTTATGTATGTGTCATAACTCGCTTCTCTGTCCCTTTGTTAAGACAGTTATCTTCAAATATCCTAGCTTAATGGGCAGTGAGCAGAATTAGCAAGCATAACCAGTTCCACTGTGTGAAAATGTACCACAGCAATGTCCAGAGCCAACCCAGAACAGCCGGTTGTAACCCACAAGACATAAAAGTCAAAAGTGACTCTGTAGATCGTTTAGAAAAAGAGGCAAAAGTTTCCATCTGTCAAGTAGGAAGTGTCCTTATGGATCTGGCTCCTCTCTTCATTCACAAAATAGAGGTGAAGTTTAAAATGCCCCTGTCAATTACAAGTAATTCTCTTCCAATCTACTGTTACACACCGAGAGCTGGGATCCAGCTGCTCTGAAGCCCTTGCTATGTCCCACGGTGCAGAGAGCAGTGTTGGCAACAGTGTCTTGGCTCTCTGATGTTATTAAATTAAACCTCCTCTTACCTCGACTTCCTTGTTCTTCTCTTTGTTTCTGCCCATTGAATTTCTCCCATTGCTGGCAGTCTCCCGTGCTGGGATTATGGAAATCTGGTGGAGGGGCATATTGGCAGGGCTGCAGGTGGCCAATCCCTGATTGGATGCCTTATCTCTTCACTCGCCCTGAGTAGCCCACCTGCACATTGTTCATATCCTTGCTTTGCCAAGCTCAGGTCTAAACAAAAAAGGGGAAAAATAGTGTTTGAGACACTGTGCAGCAGAGGCCAGAGTCTTCTGGTCAAAATGTTAAACACATTGAAAGGGGAGTTACAAGAAATGCAAGAGCAAATAATCCAGGGAGTACTGCATTCTCCAAAGGACGATTTACTGCAAGTCATAATGGAACTGCTTTGTCACTGGAGCACCCCCTCTCCCCTAAGAGCATTGTGGGAGACAATTCAATTTCTATGGTACCTAATAACTGTCATGGAAACCAAGGAAACCTAGGTCTCACAGGCCCTTATTAGCAACTGCTTCCTTTAATGGCACAGACTCCCAGATTTGCAGCGGCTGCCACTTCTGCTTTTGTTTCTCCTCTGATTCCCCAGGAGTCCACTAAGCACCCAGAGACACTGCATCTTGCTGACTAGGTAAATAAGCAGACGGCTGAAAAGCTTAGTGTCCTATTTGGAGCCAAATCTCTTCCTTGAGAAGCGCAGTTAGCTGGCTGTGTCCTTCATGCATCTACAATAATCTGCTTAGGTCAAAGGATCTGCCTTCAAGTGAAGAGCATCGCATGAGATCGAATGAGGTGTTGAGAGAGAGAGAGAGACAGAAGAGGAGACCTGGAGAATTGCAGATGTCTTTTTCTGGATGGTTGTAAAGAGGGTTAACCATTCACTGCACCTTTCTTACTGAAACATCAGCAACAGGAGTCAGAAGGCATCAGGTAGTCTGAAGCACAGAGCTCTATACTACTCATTTCAGCTTTATTGCAACTTCTGTGCTCCCTGAAATATATGTTAGAATTAGTAGCAGCTTCTCCTTGCTTTTCCAGAAAGGAAGCAGACTTTACTATTACTGTCCTCTCAATAGTTACACAGTTTGGAAGAAATAAATGGTTAATCAGAACTTCTGCTTTGTACATTTCTAAAAAATTCCTTTTAAAGCATTCTACTGTCTCGGTGAAGTAAATTCTTAAATTACATTAATTTTGTAAAAATAACTTTCCTGCATGATTATTCCCTCTTTTTCAAGGTGTTTGGCACTCTGTCTTTAAAAGGACAGAATTTTCTCTTCTCATTTTGATATGTACATTGTACATTTTCTGGATATTGTGAATAGATCAGATCTCCCACCATTGTTTGTGTTTGTTCACCCTAAATGAAGCATAATTCAGAAAGTTCCTTGTTTTTATATACTCAAGTACTGCTTATAAGTTAGAATTTGTCCCTAATCACAGAGATCTTCAAAGTGATTGTTAATTGCAATTCATTTCTACCTGTCTTTGTTGTATACAGCAATAAAAGCATTTCCATTATGACATTACAAGTTGTTTCAACTCAGGATAGAAATAAAATGTGGAAAAAGATCTGTACTGTTGTTGGCAATAAAGCCAAAAACAATATAGGTAAAGATTGAATTAACATCTTCAACTTAAATATTCACACTGAAATAAACACTTCAATGTATTTATAAGTTTGGTCCAAATATGTTTTCATTTCAACCTAAATTAGCCACCTGCCCATGGTTCTAACCCCTACCATCCATCAAGATCATCTGAGGAGATTTTATAATGCATAGATCCCTCATAGATACATTTTCAGGAGGGCTGCAGTGGAGACAAGAAGACTACAGTTCTGAAGTGGACAGTTAAAAAAAAATTGCAGATGTTTCTGATACAAACCAATTTTGAGAACCATTCCAGTGTATCACTAAAATAAGCTCAGCACAACAAGTTCATTAAAGTTCATATAGAGGCAAATCTCTTGCTTCAAATAGTTAAAAAAAATAGGTGCCTCAAACCTGGCATTTGTTCATCATCACACTTAAGCTTACAGAATGTATTTGTGACATACAAGAGCTTTAATGAAAAGACTAAAAAGCCAACCTTTGCCACAAATGCCGTGTCTACAGTTAAAATTAAGAATTCTTAAATTTTCTGTGGCTTAATGTTCACATCTGTGACCTGTGTGAGAAGTTCCTTACTTTAATAATTTTTAATCCCTCTATCTAGAAGGACTGTCTTAATTAAGAGAATGCTGGAAATAGAAGTCTGTAAATCTAACGATGTGTGACAAATACTAAAATTCAAATTATGAAGCTCTTTAGACAAGTAATATTGTCAGTGTTTACATCCATGGAAAGTTCCCTGAAAAGCCAAGGCAGCTTTCCAGATAAATTCAGACTTCGGTAGTTTTGCTTAAAATATTCATTAAAGTTATAGGAAAGAAGATTTTTAGCTTGAATTAACTAAATGGCTGTCTTAATCCTTTACCTCATTATGCATATGAGGTTATTCTTTGTTTGCTATGAGATTTTTCAGAAATCAGATTTTAATTTTGAGTTAATTTGATGTATGTGGTTGAGTTATTACAGTTAGCTTTCTCTTATCCTAAAATTTAAAATATAAATTAAATTTCTGGAAAAGTGTATTTATTTCTTAGAGTATTTTACACAGTAAACAAGAAGAGGTTTGTTATATCGTTTTAAGCAAATGTTTTAGCAATAACTTAAGAAAAATTAATAGTCAATCTGTTTAATAAATATTTACCTAATATTGTATTAGGTATTGCCACAAATTGAACTTCTAAAATTTTCCAACTGTATCAGGGGAAAAACATGCTTTTAATACTTTGGACATTCTAATACTTTGCTGCCTTGGAACACTGAATACACATCAGCTAATGTCAATGTTTTGCATTTACCTAATACCTTTCCTCAATCAGATTCCATAGTGCTCTGCCAACTAGAAACAATCAGAAATCTCTGCGGTGACTCATTACGTAACAAACCCAAACTAAGAAAACTGTTGTGGAATGCATTTCTCCTATGGGAGCACAGTCCATCTTGTGTAGTAATTAAACCCTGTGGAGTCACAAGGAGCAATGGACCCAGCAACTGGGCACGGACAGACACTGGCCAGAATAATCGTGGATTCAGGAATCATTCAGCTCATCTGCTTCTACATATGTGATCACATCACGTGATCCAGATTTTTAAACTTGATTTTTGTGGAAACCAGGGACTATAATTAATGTTGAACTTATCCTGGAATATTCGCTTTTCACTGAATACTTTTTCCATATACATGTCTAAATTGTATTTGTTTTGCTTCCACATTCTGGCTTCCAGCCCTCAGCTCTGGGGACAGTTTCCTCATTCCTGCCTCTGGCTCCAAAATTTGGCATTTTTATTTATTAACTCTAATACTCAGACCTCAGTTTTCCCCCAAGAGATTCTGATTTGGTGCTGTTCCTTATTCTCAGTGGCCTACATTGTCTCTAGTTTAAAAGGTAAACGAGGCAAAATATGCAACTCTGGTAGCATAAGACCAGCTCGATCTTTGCCAGCTGCAACAACAACAACAACAACAAATAGGCCTCCAAAGCATTTATTTTGATTGCAATTAATCAAGAAAGGAAACCCAGTGTTAGGCCAAGACAAGGAACCGAGTAAACATCTGCTAACACATTAAATGGACAGACTGAAAATTCAATTCGATAAACATTTATTAAGCATCTTCTGTGTTATCTGAACCATGCTAGGAATTAATGGGCAGCACGTAATGTATAAAATTATGTGGCACAATATCTGTAATCAAAGAGTTTGTTGTGTCATTAGGGAAATAAGATTTAAGGAGGTAAGTCAATTAAAAAAATATGCAGCATATGGCAATTAATATTGAAAGATAATATAGAATACCGAAAGTAAATATCAAAGAAAGTCTGAGCAACAATAAATAATATGAGATCTAAATACATAAAGAAAGTCTTAAGGAGGAATTGAGGCCTCTATTGGGCTTGGTAGACATAAAGTGATTAAATCATTTCAAGGCACAGAGATGGTGTGAGATTGGCATATGAGAGTTCAGGATGCTATTTTAAATAACATAGAAAATTTGTTTAAGATTATTAATTGGTTTAAGCCATATACAGTTATGAGGATCACCACTTGAAAGGAGAGAGGAAGGAAACCAGACCACGGACCTGGCAGAAAGAAAAAGCCTGTAAGCAATATAAAATTATATTAATTATAAAATATAAAATCATATTAATTATAAAATATAAAATTATATTTTATATTTATATTTATAAAATTATAAATACATTGATACAAGACAGAAAGGTAATAAAGATAAGAACTTTAAGTTATTTCTGAAAATAGAAACAAGGTACACTGAGTTGGCAAAAGAATATTTCATTACAAATCCCTGGTGAAAGGGAGGAAACCTGGTTTGAGTGGGTTTTCAAAGCGTCATTGCAAAGGGTGTCAAATGGCCACTGTCAAAGATTACTGGGAAGAACATATGGATAAGCTATCAGGGCACAAAGAATTTACATTATCTTGTAAAGGAGAGGGAGAAGAAACTTGAATTTAAAGGTATTGTTACTAGGGAAATTCTGAAGTATACAGTTACGTATTAATTGGAGAGTTAGGGAACAACGCAAGCTAGCAAAACAAGCTTAGTGGAAATAATGAGTGGGAGTATAAAACAGAAAAATAATTAAAATTTCTGGTTATGTGTTTATTAAAAAATCTACAATGTAATAAAGCATTTCTAAAATGCTTGTATGTTTTTTATGGGTTTTGTCTGATTATTGGAACCCAATTGTGATTACATTTAGTATGTGCAAGTGTCTTCTGTAATTACAACATCTTTTTAATGTAAGCATTCTGTCCCTGAAGACCTTTCAGAAGCAACTGGATGATCAGCTTTCAATACCAAATACAGTATAATGGATCAGATGAACTCTTGAGATCTTTGATTCTATTCTCTTGAAATTATTTTTCCAAATTTTGACCACATATACTTTCTGAAGTTGATGCAGATTACAACATAGCCAAGACATTCATTTCAGTCTGTTGGAGAATCCATAGCAATCACCACAATCACATAATATGTGTGATAATTACAGCATGCCCTGAAGAGTCAGTTATACTAGTTTATATGATTTATTTTATGCTCGTGACAAAAGAATATCATCACAAACTGAGTCTCTCAAATAACACCAT